AAGCAGGGAAAAAGCTGCTCCAAGGCTCGAGCCCGGACTGTCATTTAGAGGAACATGAATAGGAAGCATTTTTTCTGCAGAATAGTGAGTGTTTTGGGCTTGGGGGAAGAAGGGCTGTGTTTAAATGTATCGAGCATAAAATGAAATGTTAACCACTTGAGTTTAATAAATCTGTAGCAATGATCTGTTTGAACCTGGTAAGAGCCCTGAGGACAACACGCTGCTATCTCACAAGCTGCTGGCCTTTTCCTTTCCTCTGTGTGTGTGTGTGTGTGTGTGTGTGTGTGTGTGTGTGTGTGTGTGTGTGTGTGTAAGATGGGGGAACAAGGAGCAAACGAGCTTGCATAAGAGATGTGGTGAAAAATGAGTACCAGGAGGAAGGTGGTATGTGCTATTAAGGTTGGAGGATTTCCAAGTGGCCAAAGTGTTTGGGGTAAATTTGGAGGCTGGATGTTGTCCTCTGTGTAAGTACCCTACATTTGAGTCCTGAAGATACTCACATTTCACTGAAAAACTTTCTCAGATATTATTGGTGAGCAAGCTATTAGTATGAGATATGTCTAAAATTCCTGGTTGTAGAAAAAGTCATGTTTTCTAGCAGGGATTTACTTTGCCTTGAGAGGGATAGATTCTTATGTTCTCTCTCACCTGCATTGCATGTTTTGGCCTTGTTGCATTTCTGAGAAGGTGTTTGGTATTATTCCATCAGTCTATTACCCTCTCCTAGTCTACCCTCCCAAACCCATCTTTCTCTGAAAGTAAATGATGGGGGAAGGGGTCAGGTGCATCTATAATCCTCATCCTGGCTCCTGCATAACCTGTCTGAAACAAAGTGGGCTGTATTCTGTCATTCTTTTTGCAGCACATGCAAAGTGATGCAGTCTTAGGGACTTCTTACCTTGACATATTATTGAGTCTCATTTTATATTTGTCACAGAATTTGTATTTACCTCTGGCTGCTTGATCTCTCTTATTGAGCCCTTTCCACAACCCTCCCTTAATACCAATTTGATCTCCTTTTTTTGCTTTGAGTTTATAAGTTCATCCAGTAACTGCTATGGGCTTCTCCCTCTTTTTTTTCTCTCTCTTTAGCAGGGTGAGGGATTTTTTCTCCTCTAAGAGAGTTTTTGTTCCTTTTGGCTGCAAAATAAAATCCTTTGATTCTATGTGACAAACAGGGACACGTTTCCTTTCTAGTAGAGATTAAAGACACCTGGCTACTCCAGTGATTAGATCTTGAGTAGAAGGTGAGGGAAGTGTCTCACTGACTTCACCACCTTCTCCAGACAGTGTCAGCTGAATTGGTTGTACAGAGGGATTTTCAGCAGTAACAGGGTACAATATTCCTCCTCATGGACTACGAATCTGAGATGCACAAATCATAAGTTCTTTCTCTTGCTGGCGTGTCTCCATCATGGATTTATGGCTCTGATGCATGGTAGACATATCTGAGATAGCCCAAAGCTTTTCTGCCCTAGTATTGGCTCCTACATGTGACAGTGTGGAGTGTCATGCTAGCTGAAAAATCAACCCCACAGCTGTGGTTGACAGATCTGTAATTAGCTGGCATGGGTCTAAAAATCAAGGTAAAAATCTTCTTTCTCTTCCCTAGTGCTGCTTAGAGGGATCTAAAACTAGGTAAGAGAAAATATCTGCACATGAATGTTGAGGAAAACTTACCTTAAAAAGGTAATGAATTAATTGCAGCTACTGATGTTGATATTTCTATGTATTAGGCATTGTTATTTCTCCTCTCTCTCTCTGCAACAAAAAGGGTTTTTTTTGTTCTCTTTTGTTTTGTCTATTTCTAGAGGAAAAAAAAAAATCTCAAAGAACATGTTTAGAAAATTGTAGCTTAAAATCAGATATTGTGGAACTGGTAGTGATAGGGTTAGGGTTGTGGCTGGACTTGATGATCTTGGAGATTTTTCTCAACCTTTAGGCTTCTGTGATCTCTGACTGCAGTGACTGCTGCCCTCCCTGCTGTTTGAGTGAGATTTCCACTGGCCTCTATCTCTGCTGTTTCTCAAGATGGTTTATGCTGCCCTGTGTCTAGTTCTGTGCAGAGGAATGTGATGATTACACTTGACTCGGGACACACTGCTGGAGAAGATAGAGTACAGAATAAGTTTAAAGCATTATTATTTTGATTGTGATCCTCAACATCAATAGTCTAGACAAAGCATAAACTCTGGATCTAAAAATACACTTAAAAATTAGCTGGTCTGTTCACAACCCATTTCTTACCTCATCCAGCAGCTATTTATGAAAACATTTTCTATTCTTTCTAATTTTAAATAGCGAGCACTAGCAGTTGAATACTCATTTATTAGATTGTTGTCCCCTCCGGTTTTTTTGCACATCTCGTTGCTGTCAAGTAACTTTGTACCCAGCCAAAACTGACATGTTGAAACAAGTAGCGTATATTTAATGCAATGTACTGGGGAGGAAAAAAAAAANAAAAAAAAAAGGAAAAAAAAGGAAACAAAACAAAACAAAAAAGACCGATTGTCATTGGAAGTTTGAAATACAGTAGCTGGACTGAGAAGTGAATGTGCTCATGAAGAGGGTGTTGGGTTTTAAGTAAACTTCTTAATGCGTGGCTTAGTCACAGGCTTTTTTCCTGCTTGTTATTGTCATACTTGCCTGCTAGTCTCATCTGATAGAAGGATTGCTGGGGGCAGGGTGCCTGGCATCGTGTGGCAAAAACTGCTTGCTGTTGACTTGTGTGCATGTGTGCCGCTGCTCTCCGCTGAAATAAATGTCAGAAGTGCTCAGGAGTGTGGGTGGGTGGGGAGATGTGATTTGGCTCTCCCTGGTTGCCTTGTCAAGGAGTGCACTAATACAGCTAATGGAGTTCCTCGGGCTCCGGAGGAGAAGGGCATTCAGTTGACAGCCACCATCCAAACAGTCACAAAAGATAGCTTCATACTGCAGTGGAGGCTGTTTGGATTAAAAATAAACTTTTTCAAAGGCAAGGAATAATAAAGGGTATTTTGAAATTGCAGCTTGAAGTTTGTAGTCTCCTTTTTTGCCTGACTTAGCAAAATGGTTGCAGAACAAATGAAAGCGAGGTTATACCTGTGGAATTTCTAACCTTTAAAGATACTTGTTTTGGTACTGAATTTATTCTGAGATAGTTTTCACTAGAGAAAAAGCTTGCTTTCTTAACCTCTACTAAAAGAAAAGGTTCTGTTTTCACTACAGCAGCTTTCACAGCACTGGTGTCTCTGGGTTTTTCTGTGGTCATTGTACAGCTGAGCTCACATGGTCCTCTGGAAAATACAGAAAGTATCAGATGGCCACAAAAATGAAAGACAGAGGAATCTAAGCACATGCTAGAACCATCAGCCCTCAAATCAAGTCAAACATTGCATCACATTCTACTAGAAAAAACAAGTTGGGTTAAGAAGAATGTTAATTTTGTGGTCAATACCAACAACACTATGTTGTGGTCCCCAGTGTAGGCTTTTGCTGGAGGTGCTCATTCCTGGAGAGGGAAAATGTAACCATCAAAAATGCAGCTTACTGGGAGATTTGATTTGGCAAAAACCAAATTGTTGAATATAATGATTTTAGGAGGGAATTCGGCAGGGTTTTGTAATATACAAATATATTATTTAATTTTTAGCTGAGGAAGACATTCTTTGTCTCAGCTAGTAGCCCTCTAGTGAACCAGGTGAACCTTTCATCATTTAGACATAGTGATTAGTTTTGTTTGCCTTTTTAATTTCTACCAGGTGAATAACTAACATTGTTGATAGGCACAGAGTTTTATAACACTTCTAAATTTTTTATCTCTGTTAAGAAGTTTCTTATCTTCAAGTTTCTGAGTGACTTTAATTCTGGCTCCCTCCACAATCCTTATAAACAGATACTCATACCATCCAATTTTGTATCTAAGAATTTGTGAAGCAACATTCCTTCCTCTGACCTGATGTCATTATTACAAATAACTTAGCAGATTGTATGATGCAAATAAAATAAATCAGGTGCTGCAGTGACCCACATACTCATTATTTATTTATGGAAATAAACACATTTAGAATTTATTCATATTGTTTCTTCTATTGCAAATGCTGTAAACTTTCACTTACTCAGAACTCTGCTGGGAAAATAGCATTATTGCCATCATTCTGCACATAAGGAGACCTTGCCAGGAAGACTTCAGTAACTGCTCTAGGCTATGTAACATATAATTATCAGAACTAAGATTAGATGCTGGGAGTCTTGACTCAGAGCCTTGTGTTAAGACATCCCTCACCTGTCAGATACAATCTGTAGATAACTGAGACTGAGGGGTGATAAGGACAGGGTGATCACAGAACAACTTGGTCATAGATCACCTATGTGCATTAAGTGTTTTAAGTCTAGCCAGAAGCACAGGAGGAGACAGAACATGTTCACCTGCCCTATAGAGCATCCTCACTGTGGGGAGGTGTCACAGAGTAAAATATTGTTGTAAGAGCTTCCAGTGAGGAGGTCTAGCAAAAAGGGGAATGTGTGAAGCAGTATTTGGCTTTGAAAACAGAGAAATAATGGGTAGATTTAGCAGGTAGGTTTTTTTTTCTCTTTGATCTTTAGCAGCAATATTTGGTCATGTGTCAGGTACAGGAAAGAGGCTACAGAAAAGATCTGAAGGCTACTGAGAAAACGGAAAGATGGAGCTGTTGGGAATGTTTTCCTGTTGTCAGAACATTGAATTACGACTTTCTCCTGACTTGGCTTTTCACAATTTGTGTGCTTTTGCTCGTTATTTTGATGAAGAGTTTGGGCAGATGGTGTTTCTTCAGGTCTGTGGGACTGGGCTCTGCACTGTGTCCTTGTACTTGTCTAAACTGTCTCATTTGTGTTCTAGATTAATATTCACTATGACTGCTCTTCCTCTTGATGTTCAGCTGGGAAAAGAGGAGAAACAGTGTTCTGCTAAGGCTGGGGTGGCAGTCGGTGTGCTGGGCCCCCATCCCTAAATCCCTAACTCTGTGTCGTTGTTCTTCCAGGCGGGCTCCCGCGTTCCCCCTGAGCCGCCGCTGCCCTCCGCCGCCATGTCACGGCACCACAGCCGCTTCGAAAGAGATTACCGGGCGGGCTGGGAGCGCCGGGACTGGAGCTCCAACGGGAACCATGTGGGCAGCACCAGCTGCAGCAGCGCCGCCAGCACCACCAGCAGCTCCCGGCCCGGGCTGCTGCCCCTGCCCATCGTCCCCTCGCGCCTCCCCGCCCCGGCCACCGCCGCCTGCACCACCGGCAGCAGCGAGGTCATCACCAGCCTGGTGGCCAACTCCTCCCCAGCTTCCAGCACCAAAGTAAGAATTCAGATTTTCTTTTCCTTTTTATTATTTTTTTTTAATTTCATTTTTATTTTTTTTAACGTGGTTGATATGTTGAAAGGGTGTTAGAGATGGAGCGTCCTCTGTCCCTTTGCATTCATGGCATAGCCAAGAGTAGGAAAATGAATTTATATGGGCAGTCTGTGTATTTTTAATTTTTTCCTGTGTTGGGCATATGCAACACAGAAAAGAATTAAAGGTCTTTCTTGCTCCAAGATTGCGTGTCTCCATGCTTCTGAGAGGCCTAGGCAGAGCAAATGTTTCCCTCCTTTCACCACTGCCTACCTTTGGGCTTTCTGTCGCTTTCCCTGGAACTTACTGCTCCCATTTTTCTTTTGGGAGTGCTCTTTTTGTCTGTTGACCAAGGCAGAGCTGTGGTTGACAGCAACTGGATGTGGTTCTCATCTAGAGGCAGTGGAAAGTGACTAAAGGTCATAATTTTGGCTGAATGGTGTTTTTCTTTCTCTTTAGTTGATAGTTTCCTGTAAGGTTCTCAAAGCCTCATTCTTAGTGCACGTTGGAGTGAAACTGTGGAACTCCTACAACCAGCTTCACTCATTTGTGCAGAAATGCACACTAAAGAGTGAGGCAATATTAAGGACCAAAGAATAGAAGTCACTAGTAAACTATTGGGCTTTTTTGTTCCAGTATATTATTGGAGGGAAGAGGGTGAGTTTTCCTTTAAAAAAATAGGTCTTGTAGAACAGCAAGGAACATTTGATATTCTTGGAGAAAGTTGGGGTTTCTTTTTGCATACAGATTCAGGTAGAACAGCTGGGAACAGAACAACCTGGCAAATGGTAAAGGTGACCACAGCGCTGGCAAAGTGAGACAGAAGCACTGCTGGGTTTCTTTTTATGATATTTAACATTTTCTTTCAAGTTGGTTTCATTTTAATAACTGAAAGTGCCAAATGCAACAGATGTAGACAGAGGGAAAGGAGACAATGAAGTTATTTTATTTAAAGTAGGCCAAGAGCAAGCTGAAATTTTGCTGCAGTACCATTATTATATTGATTTTTTTCACACTGTAGAAAAACAAGGTCAATGCTACAGAAGGAAACATTAGCCTAAAGTGTGGTTGTAAAAATTTGCCATGGCATCTTAAAATTATTATCATTTGGAAGAAGCTACTCAGATTCTGATCAAAACATTTTTAGTGTCCTCCAGATGCTATCCAGTGATAGATGCATTTCAATCATGCTTTGTCTGGAGATGATTGAAGCAATTTTGGAGCCAAAGCAGTGGTTTCATTTATCATGACCTTTGTTCCTGGGTCTGCTTAGAGTCCAACAATTGTCTGGAGCTGATCAGCCCTTTTCCCAGATGTTCAAAACCATTTTGAAGCTTATCAGTGCTAGTAAACCATGTGTTTATTGGGGAAGAGGAGGCAGGAACAGCAAGTTAAGTGCCTTTTGATCATATGCTAGATGTGAACTGTCTTCTAAATTACCTTATTAGACAATTTTCTGATGACTTTCATTAGTATGAATGTTTTGGCATGAATAGATCAAAAGCAATAAATAGACAAGAATGGAGGTAACAGGAGACACTTTTTATTCTGAGAACTGTTAATCTGCTGTGTAATCTCCCATAAAATAAGTGTGTAAAAATGCATAGAGTTTTTGCCCCAGCTTCTTCTGCTGTGAATCAACTAAGCAGCTCTAACTAAAAATTCAAACTTGCATATATTAAAGAGGAAAAAACTGTGAAGAGGTGATAGAGGTAGGTAGGTAGGGTAAACAGAGATGTGAGTGTATGGTGCTTAGCAAGCTTCTAACTAATAATGTGAAATGGTGTCATAAAAAACATCAGGTGCTCATACACACTCCTGTTTACCTTGCCTGTCTCTCTCTCTCTCTCTCTCTCCCCCTCACACACAGCAGACTTACTCTTGTGGTCAGCAGTGTAACCAGCCAAGGCTTTTCCCTGGTAGAATCTAGCTAATGGCTAGGCATAAAAAAATTCATCCATATATTGAAGAGATCACAAGTTTTAGAAAAACAATGTGGTTACTCACTTTATTTTAAAAATAAAAACATAAAAATATAATACTTTAATATTTTAAAAACAAACCAAGCATGTGCTAAGTTGCCTTGAGATCACGGCTGCCTACCTTTTACAGCCATTTGTGTCAGCATGTTTAAGGGGATACCATGTGGGGGATAGGTAACATCTAACAGCTGGATTTGTTAGTTCTGTTTTGGGAGTGAGATATTTGATTGCTGAGCTGCCCTTCCGTAGGCTGAACCTCCCCCAGCATTATGGCAGGTCATTAAACTCAGTGCCAGGTGTGTGCCCCACACAAGAGATGAGGCGTCAGGAAGCAAGAAGATTGAGAACCTGGCTCTCCTTGTCTTAGTGTCCAAGGAGATAAGTACATCCACCAGTGCTGCCCCAGGCTGAGGTCAGAAGGGACTCTTTCTCCCATCCAGTCAGCATATCTTCCAGAGCTGGTTTGGTGATCTCAAACTACAGAGAGCTACCGTCTGTAGCCCTTCAGACTGGGTTCCTTCTTGTTCGTCATCCTCCCAGTTAAAAGTTTGCTTCATTTTTTTTGTAAATCATCTAGTCTGTTCTCAGTCCTTTGGTCCTTGGTTCCTCTCATTTCCTGCTATTGACCAGTTTTGGTAGCCTCCAAATAACCCTGCATCTTTTGCATCCCCGTCCCATCTTTATTTCCTTTGAAAATATGGGTGCTAAAACTTAGATACGCAAACCATATGCATGCTTTCAGCAGCAGACTCACCATTCCCTTGCATGGGGATAAGACTGCTCCCTCCCTCTGTTTCCATGTCTGTATAGCTAATAATTGCTGCAGACTTTTTTGCCAAAGTGCTAAATCAGTAGTTATTAAAAATGCATATATACTTGCCATCGTCCTCAGTTATGAGTTACCAAACAGCCATAGTTTTGTCAAAGAATGAAGTGAAGTCTGTTTGACAAGATCTGTCTTCTGAGTACCTGTATTGTCTGATATTGGTCATACTCCCATCCTTCAGCTCAAGGTTAACTAAATCCTAAAGTGACAAATTCAAAATGGGGGAAAAACTTCTTTTCTGTCTGACATGTAACTGGACTGTATAACTTGCAGCATGATGGAATTGTTCAGGGAATTTATAGATAAATAGTTTTAAGGACCACTAGTCTACCTAATCTGGCTGAACCATGGTCTTTAAAATTATGTAAATGTATGTAAGATTAAAGACTTTGCCAGACTTACATGATATGAATAGAAAAAGCATTGGAAAGGAGAGAAAAAAATGCAACTATGCTTGGGGGAAGACTAGCTGAGAGGGGGTTGGGTTTAGTCTATGTTTTCATGCTTCTGGAAGAGCTTTTACTATCTGTAGAGGACTTTGGAAGGTTTTTATTACTAATTATTAATGTGTAGGAGAACTTCAGAACTAATTATGTTTTGCAGACCTTTGAAATTTATTCTCAAAACATACCTGTAACCTTCTTGCCACAGATGCATTGGTACAAATCACACTTAGTGGATCTGCCACCTTTAAGTGGTTATGGATGTTTGGTCTGAGTTATTTAAACAGAAAAGCATGAGCGTTTTTGCTGAACAAAATGAAGCTTTGCACTGCTGTAACCCGTTTCATTGGAGGCTGCCAGAAAATACCATAAAAACTTTAAAACTTCAACAACCTGTAAGAAATAGTTTGATGCTGCACACCCAGTATATTTACAGGGAAAGTGAGGCACTCAGAGGTAGTGATTTTTGGGTTTTCTGCTCATTCAGTGCCACTGTGAGCAAAGTTTCAACTCTTTTATTAAATTTGTTTTTTCTACCCTGATTCTCTACCCAAAGGGCTGGGCTACAGACTGGCACCCAAAGGCTGCACAGTTCAGAGGGATGAGTCCTCTGCTGGAGATATTTCCTCAACCCCTCTACTAGCAGTCCATAGGAAAGTGGAAATCTTGGCAATAATCTCTGTGTTTGGATCAATGTGTCAGACATGTGTATGATGATTGAGTTCAGGGCAGGTTCTGTGCATGGTGAGGTTTTGGTTTTCTTTTCTGTAGTGAGGTTATTTATTGGTAAAAGGAAGTTATCCAAGAAATCCTTATAAGACTACAGCGCTGCTTAAGATACTGGCAACAAAACAGAAATTCATTTAAGGATGCTGCACACCATTCCAGCTATGTTTTCTGTTCATCTCCACAGCACCTTCATTCTTTGTTGCTTTTCCGAATTACTTTGCAAGTTACTTGTACAATTTTCTCCATCAAAGCTCCTGTATCACAGCTTCAATTTAGAAGTGTTGTCATGGGCTGTAATTTGAAATTTTATTACCAAGAGATTTTTTGGTTATAGAACATTTACTTTTATCATCTCTATATTATTTTTAAATGCCTGAAAAGATTGATACATCAACAGAATCTGTGCACCACCAGGTGAGATCTAATTTTTTTTCCAACCTTAATTTTAAAAACCTTTTGCTTGGAACATAAATGGATTCTTCAGCCCCCCAACACTTAATGATTTGTTATTCTCAAGGTTAAACCTATGACAAATTTTACAAAAACACCAGTCTTCAGTTTTGATAAAATTTTCTCTAGTTGAGCTCAGGGATAGCTGTGCAGTTTTAAGTCTTTAAATAGTGTAACTGAGGCGTGATTGTGGCCTCCTGTTCTCACAGTACTCCTTTAGCATTTAAGACTTGTGTGTTTTTGCTACCAGAGTATATCCCACTGTGGTTAGCCACAGGTTATGGTGTGGGAGGAAGACAGTGATGATCAAACATTTGTTAACCTCTCTGGAAAGTCAGGCAAGGATAGCAGACGAAGAAGTAGCCACTGCTGACTTTGTACATCACTGCAATTAAATAGCATTAAAAAACAAGTGGGAAGGGAAGAAAATTCTTATGTTAGAGAAAAAAGACAAGTCAGTGTGGCTGAGGAATGCACCATAAGAAGGAATAAAAGGAAACAGCACAGAAGTAAAATGTTATTCTTACGTCCTTC